AATGGCGGTTGTGTCGCTGTTGGTGCAGCTGATGAGGAGCCCAGCCCAGTGTGAGCAACTATAGAGAGAAGGAGAAGGAGTGACCACCTCTTCACTTGCCTCCTCCTTCCTTCCCTCTCGCTGGTGCTCCTCCTCAACCATCACGTGATGGTCTAGCATGGTGCAGGTCCACTGCCGCTTGGCCCCCTCTGACCTGACCATGGAGCTGAGGGAATGAGAGGTGTAGCTTGAGGAGAGGGGTGTGGCCTGGAATATGAGTGTATGACTTGGGCAGAGTCCCAGTGACAAAACAGACAGACCTGGGGGCTGCATCCTATGGTTCTCAACCTCCGTTGTGGATTATACTGGACTACACAGAGCAATTATTTGACTCTGCAGGAGGTAAAATGATCACTTATGCACCGCCTAAAGGCTTGCATACACTTTGCATATGGTAATTTATGTGTGTAGATGCAAAAATGGAAGTCCTTACTGTTATTCAAAAAGAATTACAGTACATCTCATCATGTTGAGGAAGACTATGGGCACTTGACCTGGGTGTCTGATCCGATGCTAGCAGCTGAGCAGCTTCAAAGCTCCTTTCTTTGTCTGTCTGTCTGTCTGTCTGTCTGTCTGTCTGTCTGTCTGTCTGTCTTTCTCTCTCTTTTTGCAGTTTTTCTAATCTTTAAACCAGACCAGAACCAGGCATGCCTTCACATATAAGAGTGTGTTCTCTAGCAAGTAGCTAACATATGCTAACCCTAGTATAAAGGCAACTTCCTATATTCTAGCTCAGCACTAGAAAACAATCTGGCTTAAATCAATTAAAATCTTTGGATTGACTAATTGGTGCAATTTAACTCAGCAACAGATTTTTTAAAATCTGGGTGCTTTTTATTCTTTATTACTAATACTTATTAAGAGGTGGGGAATCTTTATGGCCCTGTGGGCCTTACCTGATCGTACACCTTGTGGGCCAAATTAGACAGGTGGGTGGGACTGCGCCCAGGGGTCAGCCACAGTGTCACATGGGCACCAGGTGATTGGGTGCTTTGAAGTCCTGAAGTCATTTTGCAAACCCAAGGAGGAGGGTTGTACACCTGAAGTCTCTGCAGGGAATATGATCCAGTGCTTTTTGGCTCCAACAGATGATGGGTAGTAGAGCCAGAACTGAAGCCTGCTTTCCCTTGCCAAAACTTAATTGTGCACATTAAGGATCCTGATAGTTTGTTGGCAGCTGTGACTACCTGCCCACACACCTGACATAAGTCGAGTGGGTGTGGTTTGGGAAAACCAGCCTCAGACTCCTAGTGGGCCAAGTTTGCCTTGCAGACCAGATGTCCCCACCCCCCTCCGTTTTATTCAAAAGAACCTTTTGCAATTTGTTTTTCAAACAGATAAGATTGTAGGAAATGAAGCAGGGAGGAGCCTTCAGCAGTACAAACACATCTCAAATCAGCAGATAAAAATAGCAGCTTACAAAAACTGCAGATGGCAAACTCCATCTTAGGAGAGGTTCCCCCCCCACACACACACAGGGAAGCAAGTCCTCTTCAATTCATCATAAAACGCAACAACACCTTATTTCTTCTTAATCTTTGTTTTTTAAACAAGTTTTAAAACAATCAATATTGGCTAGCAAATATGCTTTCCAAAATACAAAACAGGTATTAAAACGAGAGGATATCCTTCATAGAACACACTTGTGCATCACTTAAAAGATAAAAAAACCCACACACTCTTCCCACCAAAAACGAAAACAGCAACAACTATTTTTAGTCATCACCAAACATAAAATTAGATATCTGCAGTGTGACCAGATACAAAAGAGTTTCAGGGTTCCCACACATTTAATAGTTGTTCAGGAGCTCCACAGGTATTAAAGGTGGAGAGTCCCTGTCCTCTTTTTCAGCCTAACTGGCCAAGAGCTCTTTAAAATTGGGTTTTGTCCGTAATGGAAAGTACCTGTAATAAAAAAAATGAGCATGTACGGAACTCCACCCTCCCATCACTTAACTAATAAAACGAATGGCTCCTGGGTCTGAGAGCTTCCCTGTGAAGCAGGCTGGCTCAGAACCAGAGATGAGCACCACATACTAAGTGAGGAGCTGCCAGCCTGTTACGGAAATTGGCCTTTGGGCAGCTAATTACACCATCTGCTGGCTACTGTGGGTAAATGTGGGCAGGAAATGCCTTGCAAAGCATTCTGGCTGTGAAATTAAAAGCTTTGGCTGAAGTAGCAAGGGAGAGCTCACACACACACCCGCCCTGCAGATGTGATGCTACCTGGACAGGAGAAAGTGTGTGCTCCTAACCACATGCGGAGTAGCCTTATGACTTGGCCTCCAGCCCACCAGATGCCATTTCACAGCAGAATGGCCATGGCTCAGTGTCAGAGCATCTGCTTTGCATGCAGAAGGTCCCAGGTTCAATCCCCGGCATCTCCAGTTTGGGCTGGGAGAAGACCCCCGTCTGAAATCCTGGAGAGCTATTGCCAGCCACTATTGACAACACTGGTGTGACTCAGTACTGCATTAGACATTATTCTGTCTTTCTGTCTCCATGTGTTCCTTCCTTGCGTTCTGTATAATGAAGGGGGTTTACCTCCAGCAATTAGCTTCTGCCCTTATCGATGATGCTGGCAGCCCACAGGTTATGCCAGGGTGCCCTGGGAGGATTTGCCCATTGCATCCCTAAATAGGTCCCTTCTCTCCCCACCCCGCACAGGAGCTCTTCAGAGGAAAGCACAATAACACACTCCTCCCACCATGAAATAGTGCAATTATTTCCAACTCATCCTGCCGTTTGCATGGTGGTTCCGGGGCTCAGCAACAAAGAAACCCATCAACCTGGGAGAGTGTTGATGAGGAGGGAAGCGTGCCTTTTGTGCCTGGAGAACAGGGAACAGACAGTTGGCATAAGGACATGTTGGTGCAGGAAGGACCATTCTGCTCTGTTCGCACATTATACAATGCTAACTAGGGATGTGGGAGAAATTTGATTCAGCTTGCATTTAAAGGCACACTCATCTAATTCACGCTTTTCTTAACAATGTGCAGGCTGAAAGCTCAGCCATCTTTCGAAAGGAGCACTGCTCTGTGAATTTTGTGATGCAGTTCTCCAGTCAAATAATGTGTTCAAAAATGCATATACCATCGAAAGTGTGCATATAAATGCATCTGTTAAGTGAAAAACCAATGCATCTGGCTGTCGTTCAGAAGGTGGGTAGTTTGAGCCCACCTAGAGACAGCTGTGGACAGATGTCCTGCATTGCAGGGGGTTGGACTAGATGACCGCTAGAGTCCCTTCCGACTCTGATTCTTTCATCACGTTTGGGGAAATTGCTTTTTTAAAAATGTGTCCATTAGGGAAAACTGCATACCGGGGTGTATCTATTAGGATAAATTGGTACTGGGAAGCTGATGGATTTTCATGAGTTGTTTTTAATAAAAAAAAATTCAACAGATAATGGAAATATGGTGAGCTGAACTTAAAGCTGGAAAAATGAGAAAATTAACATTTGCTCATTCTTAATGCTGTTAAGTTTGGCAAATGACATGAGGAATGGGTATTTTCTTTCAATCAACACAGCCTTCTAGCTCTCATGTGAAGTCTTGGAAAGCCAGAGAGAGGCTTAACAGGCCCTGCCGCCAAGCTTCTCTCCCCCCCCCCCCCCGCCCCGTTAATAATAGAAGCCAGGGATATCCATTGAAATGAAAGGGTAGGAGATTCCAGATAGGCAGCAAAAGGGGAACTGATAGAACTCGCTGCCACATGATATATCACGAAGAAGTGGGACAACCGAATCTGAGGCTAGCTGTATTAAATTCGTTTATAGATGACTCTAAGAATTTTACTGTTTAAGGAACTACTAATCTCTTTTCATGCCTGCAGCAGAAATATATTAACACAATATTGGAAAACAGCTACTGACAACTCAAGAGACATGATAGGAAGGACTGTGGAACATACCACTTATGGAGAAACTAAGGAGTCATTTTAGAGCACTGAGACATACAAAAAAGAAATAATTATTTTGAAACTGTGTGGTACACGTTCATTCAGTACACTGGAAAGGACAGTCCACCCACAGCCCACTCTGGGGAAATCCGTTAAAATAGAGAACAGAAGACAGCTAGCGGATAGAATCAACTCTATAAACTATTATACAACCCAGCTTAATGTTTTACTGTATCGTTTGCATCTTATATGCAGAGCCGGCCCAACCATGAGGTAGGTGAGGCTGCTGCTTCAGGCAGGAGAAACACAAATGCACACACCCAGGCGGCATGCCTGTAGGTGCCTTGCATGTCCTGCCGCCAGTGGCAGCAGCAGCAAGAACAAAGCAGCACTTCCTGTTTCACCTCAAGCAGCGAAATGGGACACGCTGCCCCTGTGTATATGTATGGAATGTTTGGACCAGGGGGTGATATACGGAGATTGATTGTTGTAAGTATTTTCAGAAAGGGGAGGGGGGTTAGGCAAATGGGTGGTGGATGAGGCTGTCCACAGCATCTAGTCATGATGGCGATACAGTGGTACCTCGGGTTACAGACGCTTCAGGTTACAGACACTTCAGGTTACAGACTCCGCTAACCCAGAAATAGTACCTCAGGTTAAGAACTTTGCTTCAGGATGAGAACAGAAATTGTGCTCTGGCGGTGCGGCAGCAGCTGGAGGCCCCATTAGCTAAAGTGGTGTCTCAGGTTAAGAACAGTTTCAGGTTAAGAACAGACCTCCAGAACGAATTAAGTACGTAACCAGAGGTACCACTGTCTACAACGGCCAGCATCGCAAGCAGCAAGCTTCTGAATGCCACTTGCAACAGCTGGAGAGTCTGCTGGTGGGCTCCCCATGGCAGATCTGGATTGCTGCAGAAAGCAGGGTATTGGAGCTGTGGTGGCTAAACTGGCTTGAAACTGGTTTGAACGTATAGCATGGACAGGCCTTAAGACCTCTTTGTATTTCTAGAATCCCTGCCTGGGGCTGTGATTCACCCTCTGGCTATCTTTTCTCCCCAGCGACTTCTAACATAGACCTGGATGTCAAGAAACCCACTCCTCCCAAGCTGCTATGGCACCAGCCTGTGAATATCTTCTTGGCCCGTCCTGTTGGGGTGGAGGAGCTTCACCATGAAGCTGAACTCAATCTCCAGAGCTTGCTCCAAGGTGCGTGGGGGTGAGGGCCTGTGGAAGGGAGTAGGAAAGGTCCGCTTGTCTCTCCGACTTGCAGGTCTCAGCCCCAGGTAGTCGGTGTGTCTGGGCTTGGGAAGGAGCTGGCGGATAATCCTGCAGAAGGGGTCTGCCAAGGACTCACAGTGGGTGCAGAGAATGGGGATGTGCAACAATATCAACCCTTGTGATTGGCAATGAGAGTGAAGCTTCTGGACTGGCTATAAGCAGCGTCACTGAGAGAGGAGCAAGTGGTACTTCTTTGTTGGGCAAAGGGAGGCCTGTTCCTGAGCTTTCGTTTAGGAAAAGAAATCTTTTTTCATTGCTTGCTGCAAAAAAATAAATTCAAAAAATGTCGCAACTTGTGGAAAACCTACGAAGATTTAAAACAACATGAAAAGAACACAACATTATTTACTGAGAAATGCTAATCCTGAAATATTAAGGGTGAATCCTGCTAAATAATAAGGGTGAATCCTGCTAAAAGAGGAACACCAAAAACAGGCTAAGGTATTGTACCCTAATGATCCCAGTTATGAACTAAACACCTAGGTAAAACAGGAACATTTTCTGGCACCTAAATATTCACCTGGCACAGTATACCTCTGGATTCCAGTTGATGGGAATCACAAGTGGGGAGACCGCTCTTGCGCCCAAGTCCTTCTTGCCATAGGCATCTCCCACTGGTTGGCCACTGTGAGAAGAGGATGTTGGGCTAAATGGGGTCCTAGCCTAAGAAAGCAGGCTCTTCCGATAATGATGGCGCCCGGTGGCCTTTCTGAAAAAAGCACTCCACAGTTGTGGAGTCAACACTGAAAAGGCCCCTTCTTGTGTTGCTGGCCTCTGCATCTCCCTTAGAGGGAGCGCATGAAGCCTTGGACTTACAAATGCAAGGGCCACGTACATCTCTAGCACTTGCAGAATGAGTGCTTCGAAGCAAAAATGTGCAGACTGTTTGAGGCAATTTATCAATATGAGCCTGCTCCCCACCATTCAGCTTCTCTGTGTCTTTATTTCTTTTGCAAATTTATAAACATCTCCACAGCCCCAAGGCCATTGGAAGTGGCATCCAAGGTAAAAACAGGGTAATGCACAAATTCTAAAGATAATTAGAACTATTTCTACAAACTCTGAAAACAATAAAGCCATTCCTATAGAGGTACAATTATTTATTTTAAGCTGGTAGGTGCAGCTGTGAATGAAGAATGTTATGGTGAAATTTAAAGTTATACACATATCAGGGAAGGACCCCCCCCAAAAAAAAACAGCTTCAGAATGACCTAGGAAGTTGATTATCCAGACAGAGCTTCCTGCTTTTATATTAATGCTGTTTTGGGGTCTTTTGTGGTAAATGTGTTACTCGGGATATTTTCCTTTAGGTTCAGGAGAACGAAACTGCCTGGTTCATTTTGAAGGGTGCTCTCTCTCTCTTTTTTTAATTTTCTAGTAGAGAATTGGTTGTCACACAGAGAAAACAACTGAGAAATAGAGAATTTTAATGAAGCTTTCACTGGGTGGCAATGTGTCTACCCAAAAGGGAAAAAAGGAGACACAAAGACAGAAGTTTACACTCTTTCTAACACATTTGATTATATGCCAAAAATCAAACAAACTTTCTTTTCTGAGTAGGGGAACATTTAAAAATTCCCATGCAAATAAAACTCATCCATAGTATAATCATATTATGTTGGGAGGGACAGATATTATGACTGAGAAAGTGTAGGCTACACCATAAATCTCTGGGGTTTCTAACAGGCCACCTTTTGCAGATTATAACTGAAAAACTGTGCAGAATTTTGTCATTCAACTCACCCACCCACCCACAAATAATGCTCACAAAATTGCACATTCACATGCTGGGTCCCTCCCCCCTCCCCAAATCCAGCCGCCTCTGTAATTAGGAGCCTAAGAAAAGTGCAAAATCGTTGGGAGGCAGTTGGTATGACCAGACTGAGCTGATTTCTTTCTTTCCCTCCTTCCAGAAGAGTACGAGGAGCCTTACTCAGAAGCCAGGGCCAGTGGCCAGACCTTCCGCTATGCCAGTTCTCATTCTGCAGACAGGCCCCTCGACTGCAGCCCCCGGCCCCCAGTACCCAGCAAACGCTTGGAGTTTGTGTTCATGGTGAGTCTGGCAAGCTTCCCAGCATTGCATATTCCCCAATACAATTCCTACCCGGTGCCTCGGTCCAAAGTTCTACCAGCCCATGCCTAAAGGGGCTGCATTCCTTTCTGGGACACCTTCCGAGGGCCAAGTACCAGTGGCAAGCGAGGCCACAGACCAAAGCGGGCAGAGCAGTGGATGTATACTTTTAACATTTGTGTGCAGTAGTTTGGTGCCTACACAAATACATGCACATTCCTCTCTGTCCGAGGGCCAGGCAAGCAAAAGGCATTGTCGGAGTTCAAGGGTGCATTCTAGCCAGGCAAAAGCACTCCAGAAGGGTGCAAAACAGGGCCATGAAGGATTGGGGGTGGGGGGTTGACTGGAGAGGGAGGTGTTCCTTGGGGAGGGTTCCTAGGGCCAAAGAGTCCTGGAGCACTGCATTTGGCTCCTGGAAGATGCTCACTCCTGACTTAAGAGGTGGCAAGTACTTGGAGGACAACCTCTGATCATCAACTGCAGGAATGCAGCAGATCACCTGATATCCAAGAGCTGCCTGAAATCCCTTTCCTTCTGAATCCCTTCTTCTGAATAGTAGCCCTAGTGGAGTAGGGCGCTTGTGTTTGAATTCATTTATTCCCCCTCCTCCCCACTGCTTTCTGACAGCCTGCAAGCCAGCAAGTGAAGGAGAACGAGACAACCACGCTTGGGGTGAGGGCCCCAGAGCCTTCAATTAGCTTGCCCACTACGCCAGACAAGCACACCACCTGGACCCGAACTGGCCCTCTGCCCTCCGTTGATGAGAGGAGGTTGCACCAGCCCTGTTCAACCCAAGCCAACATTGTTCCCATCAACGTCTCTGGTAGGGTTGACAGTCTGTCTGTCTGTCTGTCTGTCTGTCTGTCTGTCTCTCTCTCTCTCTCTCTGTGTGTGTGTGTGTCTGTGTGTAGTAGAGAAGAGGAGTTAAAGAGTTATCATATGACGCAGAATGGTTGGAGGTCGCAGCAAACAAGGTTTTAGTTCACCATGCTGAGGCATGATGTGTCAGATGTCTAGCAAGATTGAAAAGCACAGGAGATGAAGGAGGTTTCATTGGGACTCACATGAATTGGCATTTGTAGTGTGTCCCATCAGGCTAGGTCTTCTCAGAGACATTTCCCCCCTTGCTATGTCCCCCCCCCCTTTTCTGCATTCTGCTTGTGTTATTCAAGTTTCACCAGCATCTAATGCATCCAAGGTTAACCAGTATGCCTGTCTCTTTGTCACTTTAGTTGTTATGGTGCATGGTGCCCATGTACCGCCCATCTCACTTCCAAGCTTTGGCAGGAAGAGATCTCAAGAATAACAGCAATTCATTGACTGCGCTCAGTCCTGACGCCAAACCATAATTTGGCGTTGATATTTGATCATAGGCCAGGTTTGCAAACCACGGCTTGCAAGGGACTTCCAAAGCAGGATAATCCGCCATGGTTTGAAGCTGGTTTGCAGACAAACTGGGGTTTGTCATTAATTTGTGGATTTAGGCATAACAGCAAACCACAGTTTGTGATAACTGTGGCTTGCTATTAATGCCAGAATTCGCAAACCACTGAAAAACCACATTTAGGCCATTGTTCAGTCACAAGAGGTTGATGAACCACGGAGACAAGAGTGAGCTTATGGAAACTGAGTGGTGAGCTCTCAACCATGGTTTGTCTATTACAAGCAATAGTGTGATGGGGTGCTGAAAGCACTCTTAGACATTACTGTTGGGGTAAAGGGAACACATAAAGACATCTGCCCTGTTACATTCCTACTGTTACTGGCTTCTACCTTCCCCATGTTCCCAGTAGCATCAACTCAAAAATCTCTTCCCTGCTCTAAAGCCATTTTTACCCCACTTCCATTCCTGTTGGGATGGAGGGGTCATTGTTTCCTAAGTCCATGCCAGTTTTCCATGTGTTCATTCATAAGTCTGTATTGTGCTCTTTCTGCATCAATGTGTGGATTTACTTATTCTTTTTAACCGCATGAAATGTTCACATTACTTTTTGAGAGTATATTATTCTAAAACATACATTAACCTAAAACAATAATTTTCTCCACACAACTTTGGTACATTTACATAAGCTGACGAAAAGCCACTTCCAGAAATATAGTGGAATATAGTACAAGTTTAGTACTCATTTCTATTGCTGTTTGCAAATTACCGTATGTTCCGGTGTACAAGACGACTTTTTATCCCTGGAAAATCACCCCAAAAGTCGGGGGTCATCTTATACGCCAGGTATACGTGTTGGGAAGGAGGAGAGGGAGCCAGTGAGCAGAGGTGCCCCTTCTGCTGTCGCTCCTCCTCCTTCCCCACAGAAGTCCTTCCGAGCGCGCCGCTCACCCGCCCGCCGAACGCCTTGCCTTGGGCTGCTGCTGCTGCTGTAACGGCAGAGGCAGCAGAGGGGTGCGCGCTCTGCCCCTGGCGGTGCTCAAACTCTATAATTTTAAAACTGAACAGCAAAAGTTGGGGGTCGTCTTATATGCCCAGTCACCTTATTAGGCCAGAATGTTTTTCTGGAAGCACATAACACAGAAATGAGCACTTTATGTTCTGCCGTATGTCGAAAAGTGGCTTTTACATTGTGTAGAAGTTCAGATATATTGTGGAAATTAACAGCTTGGGAAATGTTGGGATAACAGAATAAACTTCATTCTGTGTGACTGCAGCCCAAATCAGTTTGGTTCGCTTATAAACTCAGGCTGAAGGAAGTCATTCAGGACCACAAGCCACCATTTACCATCTTCCCATAATGTTGAATTCACCATCCTTCCCACATCTCACATCACCCTCTGTGTTTTCCCACGGTCCACCTGGATGGCTGAGTGTCTTTGTTTTGGCTACAGGACAGCCGTTCGCTCGGCACGCAAGTACTCGCCACTCCCTCTTCAACACAGAGACAGCCATGAATCCCAAGTCCTTGCTTCGCCGGAGACGGACGGTCATCGGCTTTCCCCACCTCGCCCTGCGGGACCCAGGTGACAAAAGCAATGCTGCCACTCTCTGCCACTAGAGAGGAGGGGGAATGGCTTGATGGCTTAGGGTCCCTCCAGACTGGTGTTTTCAGCGGATATATTCTGCAACATGTCATTGAAGCTATGCTAACATACTAGTGGTGGAATTATACTGAACCATACCATTCTTCTGTATTAGTTGTTTTCCAGCATTGCCACATTATTACCAGCTGGAGGGGCAGTCTTGCAAAACAGCACAATGAAAGCAGGACAAAAAGAAAAAAAAAGCTGAAACATTTGTGGTCTAAAATTTACAGGATTTCAGCAGCAAGTGAGCGGACATGCACTAGTTGGAAACAAAGCAGGGTGTCCACCCTTAAAACTTTTGCAGCTGCAAACAGTATTGAAAGCAGCATGGTGTGTTACTGCCCCAATATCATCATGAGCACAAATCATCAATGAACGCACAATAAAAAGGATGTCTGGAGGGACCCTTAGAAGCACTTGTAGAATCAAGACTTCCCTGACTCTGGCATATGTGAAGAACAGAATGTGAGAAGGGATGTTTGCCATGGGCTTCTTTATAGGAATTTCCTGTAGGGCTCCTCCAAAATACTGGGTTATTTACAGGGCAAAAGTAAATTTTTCATGTACACTCAAAATTTGTCAAATTTCAGAATCTGACTTTATGGACCATTTTCAAGCTTCATTTTTAGAATTCTGGGAGTGATCTAATATATTATTTGCTGCTTTTCAAGTAGGTTTGAAAAGTGGTTTTCATATGCAGATTTAAAAACCAGTGTCTGCAATGAACACAGAGGCAGAACAAGTCACAGAGCTACAGGATCAGAGCATCTTAATTTGGCTAGAAAAATATGAAGTTGCAGCTTAGCCGGATTTCAGTACCAACAAACAGAATCCATAAGTATTCCATTTGTGGGGATGTAGGTACATTTTTAATGGGAAGACTTTGTTTGAGAAACAGCTCCCCCCAAAAAAGTATTTTGTTCTAGCCCCTTTTCCCTTATGAACTGGCTCCCTAAGACTCTTCTCTGAATTGTGAATAAATGTATCTTGGGATATCCCCCTCCACCCCCAAACACCGCCATGCATCTATGTTAAGTAGGGAGGAAACATATTTGTGGCGTGGGGCAGAGAATAGGGACATTTGTAAGAATAGCCATGTAAGAGCTTGACTAGCAGACCATGCTCTTTAGGGCACGTCTAAAGATTTGCAACTTTAGAAATTTAAAAAAGGAAAGGAAAAACCTTTTATTATAGTGGTTCTCAAACTATGAAGTGGGGTGCTATTGGCTGAGGGGTAAAGCAACACCCATGGATGTGTTTTTTCTTTTCTTTGCATGATCAGATAAAAGTAAATAATGGGCCCACCTTTACCACCTGTCCAAGGCCAGCTGAGCTCTTCCCTCCCCGAAGCAGGAGGATGGCCAGGCCTGGATTTCTTTGTGTTGATGGGGGCAGCTGCCGCCCGGCAGTGAAATGTGAAGTTTCTACTTTTGGGGGGCAAACCTTATCCAGCATGAGGGCCACATTCTGTTCTGAGAATCTTCCAGGGGCCACATGCCAATAGTGAGCATAGCTGGAGAGAAAAGTGGGCATGGGGATGAATGTAAATTTCACTAGCTCTGGGGAGAAGGGGGCTGGCTGTGCAGGGGTGTGTGGTCTGGGGTTCACATAGAGAGGTATTGAGGGCTGCATTGAGCCCCTGAAACTCCCAACCCCTGATCTAAGACCTTTCAGTGTCCCAAGCAGGAGATCTTCCATGCTGTTCTTAATTCCTGCCTTTCTGCACTCCCCTGCAGGGAACAGCAACGGCCCCATTCTCAACCCTCCAGCGACCATCGCAGAGTCCGCCTCTTGCAATTTTGTCCCTGAGGTGGCTAACGGGAGGAGCTCCACCCACCAGGCCCGCTCCCCGCAGCCAAGGCCACAGCTGAGGAAGACCTTCAGTGACCTTGGGGGAGTTCTACAAGGACGGTATTGCCAGGGGCCTGCTGGCCACACAGACAACCCTGGGGCAGTGTATGCCAGCCCATCGTGCAACGGCCCCAAGGAGGACTTGACATTCTCCCCTGCCTGGAGTGCAGCATCTTTTGGCTACGTGAGCCCTTCCGCGAGCCAGAGTGAGCTGGTGATGGAAAGTGGGGCCCAGTCTCCCCGCAGCCAGAGGGGAACCCCAGACTCTGACCGGCCTGCTTCTTTCTTCATCAGCAAAGACAACGCAGTTGGGAGCAACGGGTCTGGGGCGTTCTGCGCTTCTCCTGAGTCCCCTGTAGATGCCAACGGAGGCTTGAGGTGTGGGGCAGCGGAGGTCAAGGCTCGTTTAGTCCCCGCCACCCTGAGCGAAGAGGAGTGCCCCCAAGCGGAGAGGCAGCGGGTGATGTGCAAGTTCCGCGAGAGGTCTCTCTCCGTCCCCACTGACACAGCCTCCTTGTGCTCCATGGACATCGGGGGCAGCGAGACCTGTGCCCTGAGCTACCCCAGCGCCAGCTCCGAGGGCAGCACAAGCACAGACAACGTCTCGCTAGCGGTGGAGGAGGCTCAGGTGAGGTCACGGCGGCCGCGCACCAAGAGCATCTCTCTCAAGAAGGCCAAAAAGAAGCCCTGCCCACCTACCCGCAGCGTCTCATTGATCAAGGAGGGGCAGCTAAGCATCGCAGAAGCTGGTGACGAGCCGCTGCCGCAGGACCAGAGACCAAAAAGTCTGTGCTTGCTGCCCGACGCACAGGCCCAGAGCCAAGTCCCTGGGGACACAACCAAAGAGCTGGAAAGCGTGCCGTACTCACAGCAGTGGTACATGCCAGAGTGGAGTCCTGGCGACCCCTATTGCTCTCTCTCTGGCTCCAGCACAGCCACTGGGACCACCGTGATCGAGCTCTCCAAGGCACGGGGTAGCTCTGAGTCCCTCCCCTCCCCTTCCGTCTCCCGGGCCACCACACCTTCCCAGCTCTCTGCTGAGGTCAACTTGAAAACCTCCTCCCCGGCGAGGCCGACAGGGGTGATGTCTCCCTCCAGCGGCTACTCCAGCCAGTCGGAAACTCCAACCCCAACCATCCCAACATCTGCCGTTCTGGGCCACACCCCGCATCAGAGTGGGCGCGCGAGACCCCTTGTGCCCGAGAGGAAGTCCTCACTGCCCCCAGTCTCGCCCATGGAGCGAAGCCCCAAGTCACGGCTGTCCTTCGACCTGCCGTTCGCGCCGCCGTCACACCTGGACCTCTCGGGGCTGAAGATCTCTCTCAAGGCCAAGCCCAAAGTGAGCCGGCACCACTCCGACTCCACCTTTGGAGCCAAGCTGGGGCCGAAGCTCAGCCCCGTGCAGCCCGTCATGCCCATGGTGACACAGCTGGACCTGCGCTCCGTCCGCCTGCGGTCCATCAGCCGCTCCGAAACAGAGGACAACCTAGAGAGCCTTGAGCCTGTCGAGGAGCCTGGCAAGAAGGTCCGGCCCCCGGTGGCAGAGAAGCCGCCCCTTTCCAGGAGGCCCCCGATGCTCCTGCACAAGACCCCTCCAGTCCAGGAAGAGTCCCCCGTGGGCTCCCCAACCTCTCCACTGACACCCCAGGGCTCGGTCGCCGTAGAGAACGTTTACATAGTGGCCAGGAGGCCTGAGCACCAGTGGGATGCAGATGCCTGGAGCCCTATGGAGCCGCAGCCCCCCGTGGCAGCCGTCTCTCCAGCACAAGGGCCCCCGGGGACATTCTTCTCTGCCCGGCGGCTTTCCGAGGACAGCTTGGAGGAGGAGCTGAAGCCAAGGCTGCCGCTGGAGAGAACACCTGGCGGGGAGAGCCACAGAACCAAAGTCCCTCCCCCTGTCCCCAAGAAGCCTAGTGTGCTTTACCTGCCGCTGGTGAGCTCCCCGCTCCACCCAGGGGCCTGCGTCGGGGATCCGAGGTTGGCTGCCAGCCCTGTCATCATGCTGGACGAGGACTGTGCTTATTCCGAGCTGACTCCGTGCAAGGCATTGACCCCTGTGGCTAACACAGTGAGCATCAGTCCGACGACTGCAGGGTTGTCTTGGGGAAACGTTTCAGGTAAGTGGCTCTGCCTTTCAAGAGTCCATCCCTGGTTCTCTTCTGCCCTAAGGTGGTTGAAAAGGGAGCATAGTCCAGCAGCAGAGAGCACCTGCTTTGAATGCTGGAGGTCCCAGGTTCAAACCCACTTAAAAGTATCAAGGATGTGATGGGATAGATTGGTGCCCTCAAGATGCTGGAGAGGTGCTGACACTTACAGTAGACGACCCTCGGATGGGTGGCTGTTTTGCACATTGGTGCAAGCGTTCTGTCTCCCAGAGAGTAGCTTGCACCTGTTTTGCTCCTCCTCTGATCGTTTTGCAGCTGGGCTGCACTGAGCTAAGCCAGTGTTTGGGTTCGAGTGCCATCCCAACCCTTGCTTGTGGTTAAGCTCCCTCCAGAGACTAACCACAGTCTGTAGCTTAGGTTTGTTCTTGGATACACCTTGTGGTTAGTCTTGACAGAGCTTAACTGCCCAGGCAAAACACTTAGCCAAACCTTAGCTTAGCCCAGTGCAGTGCAGCAGTCAAAAAGTCCAGGCAAGGAGTCTGCCCAATCATGCGTTCACACCAAGCCAATATTTGGCTTCGTGTGATGTGCAAACAAGGCCAGCATGAGGCAGCTACACACATGTTGAAACACAGGGAGATGCCTTATACCACATCTGACTACGTGACCATTTAACTCTGTGTTGCCTGCTCAGATTGGCAGCAACTCCTGGGGATTTTAGGCAGAGTTTTTTATTCCGTCACCTCCAAACCGATTCCTCTTTAGCTGTAGATGTTGTGGGTGAAACCTGGGACCTTTTGCATGGAAGGCATGTGTTCTGCCAATGCTCTGTAGCCCCTTTATGTGAAAGAAGTAATGTGTGATGATTGCATTCAGGATGTTGTTGGGGCTTGTGTCTTTTGCTCAGCGTACACAGGCTGGGAAAAGGCAATTAGTCCTTGCTTTTGCATTATGTGCTGAATCCTTGTAGCCCTCCAGGTTTTGTTCGCCTCCTGCTCCCACCTGCCCCAGCCAGCAAGGCCAATAATAAAGGATGGTGGTATTTGTAGTCTAACAACATCTGGAGGGCTGCAGTTTCACCTTCCTTCTTGCATTGGGGGAAAAAACTATATGTCATGTGATTGTCACACATGACCATTTTTATTTGTGCTGCACCCTATAACTTCCTCCCGGGATTGCTTTCACATGAGAACTTGGTAATGTGTGAAGAAGCTCATAGGAAGAAGTTCTTCCCTATTCATCTTGAGATGCATATTTGATTTGATTTAATGTTTGTATTCTGCTTTTCCGAAATAATTTTGAACTCAGGGCAGCTCACAATCACAACAGTAGCATGAAAAATTAACAAGAATTACAATCATTTTACTAATATCGTATCTACTTTTAATAGTATATGTACTGGTTATTGCTTGAAATCATATCCTGCCTGCCCTCCAATGAATTCTTCCCCTCCCAGCTTTATCCTCATAGCAACCCTGTAAGATAGGACCAGTCCGAAGTCACTAAATGAATGGGGATTAGAACCTGACCTTCCTCTGTTCTAGTCTAACTTTCTAACTACTGTTCTGAATTGGCTCTGATGTGATATGATATGATGTGTAATGCCCAGTAGTCAAATATAAATGGGAAGAGGCAGACTAGCAAAACATCTTTAATTCTCTGATGGATGCTTGGACAATCTTGCTTTATGCTATGGATTGAAATAGTTAGTGGAAGCTACCTATAAATTAAAAAATACACAAACCACAGCAAAATAAATTAACCCAATCCTGAGCATGACAATCTAAAGTTACCAGCTGGATAGCAGCCTGTCCCTCACTCCCTATGTGCATTGTGCATTTAAAGCAGGATCACACCACTTAAATAGCCACAACTTCTTCCAAAGAATCCTGGAACTGTAATCTGTTAAAAATGCCTGGAGAGGATGTTAGAGCCCTATTCCCCTCTCAGAGCTAAGATTCCCCAGACTTCCCTGGGAAGAGGAACCTGATGGTAAACTACTATGAGAATCGTCTCTTGGGGTGTCCTAGCCCAATGCTCCCTAACAATCAGCCCCTTAACAAACTACAATTCCCATGATTCTTTGGGGGAAGCCATGACTATTTAAAGAGGTTTGATAGTGCTTTGAAGTTAAAGTGCAGATGTGACCCCGCTCTCCCACTCTCTCTTGATCTGTTGGTTTCTGTTCCTCTATATGTCCGTTCTTCCTATTAGCTTTATTCATTCCCCCTATTTCTTTCTCCCTCTGATCTCTCTTCAGCTCCTTCTCCAACCATCATCAGTCAGCTCAAACCTTCCCACCTTTCCCCTTTATATGGCCCTCATTCTGTACCCTTCTGGTACTTGGCATTTCTCGTGGACATAGAAGGCCTGCTGCTCCTACTTGGATCAAGCTCGCAGCTCCACCTAACGGCAAAACCCATCAGCTTAGGGGGTGTTCACATACTGCATTCATCTAGTGTACGATCTGTGTAAAAATAAATAAATAGCTGAGCTGTACATTTGTACAGTTCTTTACATAGAGTTGTTGGCACACCACATTCAACGAGTGCATAATCTGCGCATCTGCGTCCACAAACACTTGTACTATTGTTAACACGCAGTGCTCAACAAGTGTACACTCTTTCACACAAACAGTTCCACTTGTACCTGTGCTCAATGTGACTTGTCAACAAGCCTCATGTATCGTCCAGTGATCTTTACAGTCTGTTTTCCTGTGTACGCAACAGCTGAGTTGTGCAAATAAGAAGTGTGTGCTTTTTCACACAAACCCCGGCACATGTGGAGAGACAAGTTTGTCCCTGTGTTCATTGTAACGTGCAAACAAACCTTCTGTGAACACCTGAAGATCTTCAGGAAGGGAAGGGAATGCCTGTGAATTCTGTGTTCACTTGAAAATGGATGCAATAACAGGAGATCTGTGGTTAGGATCTCTCGCTTGAAAATAATAACCAGCAGCTGCTTCAAAGTGCTGCTCTTGGAGAGGGTATCGTACCCACATCTTCCCTAGCTCTTTCCCCAGACTAAGCCAATTTGGGGTTTCCCTCCTTGGGGTTGCTTATACTTCCTTCTTGTGTGTAGGTGTGGGTGTCATTTTGTCTACTTAATAAACAGTAACAAGACCTTGAATACAATAAAGGTATAATATTGTACTCAACGTATCTAACCTAAACTGCATCAGTAAAGATGGAGCAAAGCATTCTTAATCAGAAAACATAAATAAAACAAAGGAGCGATAGCTGGGGGAGGGATGCAATTTCTTTTTCAGTTCCGACTGAGTTACCATATTTTTTCCCCAGCTGGTTCTCTGTTTTCTTATTTATGTTTTCTAATTAACATTGTTTAGTTTAGCTTCGTTTCATTTTATCTTTCTTAATGTAGTTTATGTTATATATATATTGAGCACAATACGGTGCCTTTCTTAGATTCACAGTCTTGTTGCTGTTTATGCTTCCTCTTCTAGATACCCATAGTTTGCTTTGTTTCAGCTAGATAACCAGTGACAATCTTCCCCTGAACACTGGGAATAAAAAGGAATGGTGTTTCAGGGTTTGCTGTTCTGAAAGTAGAGCCGCCCTAGTCTGATGTCACATCCGTACCATACATTTAAAGCACTCTCATACCACTTTAAACTGTTATGTCTTCCCCCAAGAATTCTGGGAAATGTAGTTTCTTAAAAGGGTCTGCACCTCACCGAATGACAGTTCCCAGAATCCTGAACAAACTACAGTTCCCAGGATAAAGTGGTATAAGAGTGCTTCAAATGTATGTCCACCGGGCATACTTCTAAGTTCCAGAAAGTTGTGCTCTGGCAAATGGAGCTTTAACTCTTTCCTCTATTTTTCTCTCAACTCCCTTGAAAAGATATTTTTAGCTGAAAGGGGTAGATTAAAGGAGTTGGAGTTGGAAAGAAAGGTACAATTGCTTTCTCTGCCCTTCCCCTCTCCCCTCTCCCCTGCAGCTTCATGGGGGATGTGCAACTTCGGGGGGGGGGGATTTAGGAATGGGCAAGATGGAGAAAGTAGAAGGAAAAGTGGAGCCTATATAAGAAAAGCTTAAACTTGTATTTGAAGCTCTCTGGTGAAGGAGCTGATATTAATTGATATTAATCCCGCCACTCCTTTGCTTGCTGCTTTCCCATTATATCTGGGTTCACCCACCTTTTTGGAGCCTGTGGGTACATTTGCAAACAGGAAAAATGTAGTAAGGACAATGCACAACCAAGTACACACTACAAACTCTTTTCTTGACTCCAGAAGAATCCTCCTTCCCAGCCCAGTTTCAGCATAAGGGACAAGGAATCCTCTGGGCATCAGGAAAGGCCTCTACAGGTGCACAAAGAGGTGGTGGCAAGAATCAAATCAATGTCTTCATGTGCTATATCTGGTTATTGAAGATTAAATGAGCATTGCCTGTCCTCCCTGTCTCTCTGTCTTTGTCTTTCTCTCTCTCTCTCTTTCAAACACCCCCACACCTGGCTCCTCTGCCCAGGGATGGTGAACCTGTGTCCCTCTAGGAGTTGTTGGACTTCAGTTCCCATCATCCTTGACCATTGGTCACGCTGGCTGGGGCTGATGGGAGTTGGCCTCCAACAGCACCTGTAGGGCTCCAGGTTCCCCATAACTGTTCTCCAGTTGGCTGTTTCTGAAGTGCCTCTCTCCCACCCCCACCCCCACCCCACAAGCTTACCACCATCATCCCAGATCTCACTGGCAGGAGACCTGTTTGGCCAAGACTCTTGCTTTCTTTTCTTCAGGGAGCTCAGTGGGCTCAAGGGCCGAAGAGAAAAGCTTTGTAAGTGACAAAACCGCCGAGTCGATAACCGAGGAGGACGACGATGTGTTTGTGACATCCCGAACCACAGAGGATTTGTTTACTGTCATCCACAGGTGGGGGCCCATCCAGGTGTTGCATTTTGGGAGTTGGTAGCTCCTCTGAGGGTGTGGGGTGGTTTGCTCACCCCACCACTCTAGCCCCACCGTACGCCAGCCTTAACTTGGGGGGGGGGGGAAAGACCCTTCCTGCTCTTTGTGAGCTTCATGCATACCCCACCCGAAAATCCTTCCTCACTTCATCCCCTGTTCATGTCCTCCAGAATCTGCACAACTCAATTCCAGAGACCTCATAATAGTTGCCAATCACCAGTTTGGGTCTATTCTCAAAGCCAAGCTCCTGTGCCGGTTAGGCATTTGTGGCCAGCCACTGCAGGCCAGCCACTCCATTTCAGGTGGGCTGTTTCGAACCCCACCTCCTGCACCACTTTCATGAGTGCTTGCTTGTTTTCATGCTGATCTCTGCAGCTTCTCATAAGGACCAGAGGCTTGCATTTTCAAATCGAATGCTTGCACCATGTCTCAGATACTCCCGTCACCCATTTCACCCAGGAATTCACCCAGTTAGAGCTTTGGGGAAGAGCTATAGGGTTCTATTCAGCAGAACAAACCAGAGGTGGGTCCCCCCACTGCATCAGGGCTGCCCTACCAGATTTCGAAGTAAGCAAAGCTATATCTAAAGAGAGAGGGCTCTGTAACATAAGTAAGCCAAGGGTCCAAAATGACCTAACTGTACTGCTGCATCCTACTTAAAGCCAGTCCCTGTACATCAGGCAGATGGAACTTGCAGCCTTCCAGACACTGCTGAACTACAGTTCCCATTGCCCCTGACCATTGGCTATGCTGGCTGGGGCCGATGGGAGTTATAGTTCAATAACATCTAGAGGCCCACCAGTGCTGCAAAGCGCGCAGTGTTTTTGCCCACTGACGAAAGAAAGTTCACATTCTGCTTCCATTCAAGATAACTAGAGCTAGCTAGAGTTTGTGCTTTCTTACTTCACTCACTTTTGACAGCACCCACAGGAGGTCATAATCCGATCATTATCCTCCTTGTGTTTTCCGTGTGGTTCCTCTGAGAGATAGCTCAGTCGGTAGAGCATGAGACTCTTAATCTCAGAGGTGTGGGTTTGAGCCCCACGTTGGGCAAAACATTCCTGCATTGCAGGGCGTTGGACCAAATGACCCTCGTTGTCCCTTCCAATTCTACAATTCTATGATTCCTCAGACCCCAGCAAACCTGCCTTTTTAGAAAGTTAAAGCACAGTAGTGCAGTCGCTACAGGTGTGGTAGGTTCTTAGCTCTACTCTTCCATCTTTTCCTGCAGATGTAGCTTTGATGAGCAATGTAAGTGAACCTATTGAGGTGAACCTAGTGCCACTCAGGACATCTCCAGTATTACCAGTAACTCTTTTAATGAGCCATAGAGTGCTTTTTCATCTATATTTTTAGCTAAAATTTTCAAAAAAAATATTAACATATTCACACTGTAGTGTTTAAATGAAGGAGATTTATTTTTAAGGATTTTTAAAATGCTACATTCTATCAACAAGTTTTTGGCCTAACACACTTTCTAACTTTTTTAAAGCATTTGTTTCCACAAGTGTCAAAAGTAATTGGGAAACAGTGCTTATGGTAAATAAGCATTTCAGCACTAATTAAATAACTGATTTTAAGAGGAAGATGAGTGGCAGAAGAGTGATTTTTATTTTATTTTAAAAACTTTGCTTGAGTGAATCGTCACTTCCCCGCCTAGGGAGCTGTGTCCCACCCATTAGTGTGGATGGAACATAGCAGCAAGCACATGTCAAAAAAGCACCTTACCCCCACATTAAGAAAAGACAGCTGCAATTCTGCTTGCAGCTTACAACAGGAGAGCAACGGCTGGATAGTCCTTGAGCTGCCTTCTCAAACCTGGGCCCCAGCCAGGAATTATGGGAATTGTAGTCCAAAACATCTGGCAAGTGCTAGGTTGGGGAAGGCTGCTCTGGAAACACCCATGGCAAATTGAACCATTGCATACAAAGCTCCCATTGTTTCCTCTGGATGGGTCCCATTACACCATTTTAGACTGTTACGGCTGTGCCAGCTCTGCCTAACCTCAAGTGACTTTCTGATCTGTTTGTGTGCATGTGTGTGTGTGTTTGCGTGTTTGCATTTGCAGGTCCAAACGGAAGTTGCTTGGTTGGAAGGAATCCGGCGAAGCCTTTGGCAACCGGCAGAATTCAAAGAGCAACGAGTGCGCTCCGACGGGCGTCACAAGAACCTCCAGCAGGAATGAAGATTTTAAGGCACTCCTTCAAAAGAAAGGTGGCAAGGGCGCTTCAGGCATCCGTACGTCTGCGGCTGAACTTCTGAAGACCACCAACCCCTTGGCTCGGCGAGTTATGACCGAGTTTGCTGTGGACGGGACAATTCAGGGCCCTAAGACCCAGCCATGAGTATGTCAAGAGAGAGAGAGAGCTTTGTCATTTCGCGCAATGCCCTAATCCAACCCTTGGGGAGATCTGCTTGGCTAAGGGTCAGGGTGAGCCTACCACTCCATTACCGGGGTGGGGGGGTTGTGTTGTTGTTTTTCATCTTTGTTGATTTGTTGGCAGTGGTGCCAGACTTTTTTCTGTTTCTTTTTTTACTGGAGGGGGGACTCCTGACCCAAGAAAAAGTGTCTTAAATGCAGAGCACACACTCATCCCCAATGGAATCAGCCACACATCTTGGCCCTAAAGGGAGGAAGCTTTTATATCTTTTTCCACACTGGAAGAAGGACCTGCAGCATGGGTGTTCCTAGACAGGGCTATCCTGCATTGGTATCAGACCTAGGCCTGGCACCTTCTTCAATTGCATGAGGAGTGGGATACATCTTCTCTTTTTCATCCTGATCCTCCTGGTTTCCAAGACTACAAATTTGGCGGGTTGGGGAGTCCCCCTGTGCTGATTTCTTCTCTGCAGTGAAGCTAGCTTGGAACTGTTCAGAGTTTCTTTGGCATGTGGTACTTTCGGTGCTTGTAGGATGCAATATATGGCTGTTGTGGCTTCTTTTCTTTTTAATCCCACCCCCCCACCCCACCCTGCAGAACCTGACTTGATCCTTTTTAGTTTTGACTGCGAAACTCCTGAGGTAGTGGTGGCAGGGTGGAAAGGTGGTCACTTAGGAGGCAGGTGTTGTTCAAGCAGAGGAAGAGCAAAGATGCCTGTTTTTATTGATGATGCCTGACGGTCATATCAGGGCTCAGCCCCACTTCTGTCATTCCTAGTCACGGGTCCGAGAAGCTATTTTGCCCTTTCGCTTTCCCTGGAGAAACCTGCTGCTTATGCCTGAATTGGAAGAAACGCCAGTCAGGTTTCCTGTGGACTAAGATTTGTTTCAGTTCAGCAGTGAACAGTGGGTTTTCCCGGGGAGAGCGGCGGGACAAAATTAAAGCCTCTCAGACCCATGACTAGCAATCATGAGGCTTTTAATCTCAGGGTGGTGAGTTCAAGCCTCAAGTTGAGCGAAAAAGCTCCCTGCATTGCAGGGGGCTGGACTAGATGATCCTCGTGTTCCCTTCCAACTCTACAGTTCTGTGATTCTTAGGATGAGCCCTATGACTCCAGTGTCCTTAACCTATTGCTTGCTGTTCTTTTGCTCAGGGCGGGCAAAATTCCCCAATCTGGCCTCATCACCCTTCATCCTAATATTTCTATGCTGGCCCTTGAGAATTTTGCAATATTCGTTCAGCTCTCGGGAGGGCTGGCACCATTTTGATATGGGATTGCTTCCCCCACTGCCTTAAATGCAAATATTCAGCTTGGAATCTGAAAGATTTTCCTAGCCCTTCTATATCCTTGGAACCAGAAATCCATTATCTGACCAGAAGCTCTCGTTAATGCTGTTGACCTGCTTCTCTTCACAGCCTTAAATGGAACAAAAGTAAATTGTCTTGTAGCTGCTGGGTTCCTGAGCTAATTCTGTCTTTAGAGCCAAATCCTGCACACAATGGACTCTGTCCAGCTGGGACACCATGGGGCTCTTTGCAGACACCAGTCTTAGACTAATGGGCTGGTTGTTCAGTGCCATCTTGAACAGTGGGCGTATGATTGAACTGTACTGGTGGGGTAATATTGTTTTAAGGATCAATTCAAAGAGTTGGGGCTGAATAATCGTTGCAGCAGCTATCTGCAGATTCTTCACTTCCGTCCTTGGTAGGATTCTTCTTTTAACATCATGAAGATGAAAAAAGAATTAAAAGCATCTTGCAGCACTGTACGCACTTGCAGATGAATTGTGGCATAAACTCTCATATACTAGAGCCTGCTTATTCTGATTAACTAGGTGTTTTCCTAAGCTGGGATACATGTGAGCAAAGGGAAGGGCATACTTTAAATGGTGGAGGGCAATTGGCCACAGAATTTACAATCTGTGGTCATTTTATGAAAAGGTTAAACCAATGGTGAACCTTCCAGAGGTTGTTGAAGCTTGGCTTCCATCAGTCCCCGCCAGCGCAGCCCATGTCTCGGGATGAAGGGACAGGCATAGGCAAACTCAGCCCTCCAGATGTGTAATGCCAGTAGCATCTGGTCAGCTACTGAGTTTTAGGCTCCTGTTTTCCATGAGTCCTAGGGAGTATGGAAGGTGGGTCATTTAAAAAGAGATAACAAGGATCAGTAAAATGCCCAACTCCTTCCCCAATAACGTATGGCTCCTTCCAGTGATTATCTTAAACCTCGCCTATTTAACTTGAAGTGAGCAAAAATCACAAGATCCTCTGTAGGAATCTAGGATTTGCCATGCACCTCCTAAGATCAGTCTACCCATGTTCAATACAAAGTTGTTGTTTTTCCCCTCAGGATGCTTTCACATGCTGCAAAATACTGAAAAAAGACCAGTGTTCAAATTATGGTAGATAGGGTTTGGGGGTTTTTTTCTGAGAGGGGGTTAGTGAAATTCATGAGACTGATGCCCTAAACCTCCCCAATTTCAGCCAAAACATGTCCCACATTTGAAAAAGCAGGAGCTAAGGGGGAAATTATAAAAAGTTAGGGTGTCTGGGGGCCCTTTGCGTCACCCTTGTAATATGGGAACCGAACGGTCTCCCCACAGAATGTACATATTAGTGCTTAACATTCTCTTTTTGTAAATGCTATGGTGAAAATAGGAAGCGTAACTCATTCTTACTTCCTGTTTCAGTGATTGTTAGAACATGGGGAAGGGCTACAGCAATCACAGATAAACTTGGCAAAAGATAATTTCTTTTAGGTATATCCAAAGGGGCTTGCTTGGAAAGACTAGGGGCATATTTACATTGCAAAATTTAGCTAGTTTGAAGTGAAGGTGGAACTCATGTCATCACACACACACACACACACACACACACACGCCTGCTCCAGGAACCCTGGGAGCTGGAGTTGTATGAGGTTGCAAATAATGTTTTTTTTATTCAATCTCTATACCTATAGTTTCCAGGTTCATTGGTCTGGACTTGTGACATTTAAATGGGCCTGAAACTGGTTGCAACTAAGGGATGAAGGAGTAATTTGCTTCTGTTTGTATTGAAATGCATACCAATCTAACCCACACTTCCTGAAAAATATGTGAACTGAAAAAGCTAGCCTTCAAAATCTGCACTCCTCCAAATTTTGTCATGCAGTTCTCCGGCCAAATAATGTTTACAAAAAAATGTGCCTACTATCATCATCATCATCATCATCATCATCATCATCGTCATCATCATATATTTCTTCATCGCCTTCTAAACAACCATCTCAAGGCAATTTTCACGTAAGATAATTTTTGAAAACACACACACACAAAAACACACAAAACACATTTGAATCAAGACTAAAACTCTAGCAAAATAAACACTCATGGTAAAGGCCCATTTATCCCACTAGGAAAACTGTGTTCAATTTTAACTATAGTTACTTGACACAAGCTAACAGCCTAGGTTGCAAAGCTGGCTTGTTCAATTTATAGTTAAAATTAGCCACAGTTTAGGTTTCAAACAATGCACTAAACCGAGACTAATCTAAAATAGAAGCTTCTGCTCATCTCACAAGGACATTTTCCCTGCCTTGGAGAGCTTTTCCTGGCTGGGATGTATCTTTTAACTGTAATAAAATTACTTGCTTGTCTGGATGGGGGAATGGAGAAATGGATGGGTGTCACAACATTTATCTTTTATGTAGTTGGAATGTAGCAGTCACATCCCTTGAAGTGTCCACTTTTGCCTCTGGCCCTTCCCACCCCTGGTTTTCAGGTCCTGGGCAAGTTCCCCATGCGCGAATTCTCCCCTCAGGCTGGAACAGGTTCCCCGTGATTGCTTTAATCATACATGCAAATCCAGGTATACACTGTGTCTCAAAACTTGTTTTCCATGCAGTACCTGACTGCCTTGCTGGCAGGGACTGGAGAATCTCCTCATTCATCTGGCCACTGGTCTGATTTTCTGATTACCAAACGTGCCCCTAATGGAACAGGGTAGTAATGATAGCCGATAGCTAATGTAAGCCAATTGCAACTTCATAAAAAGTGAAAACAGGGTGTTTTTAAAATACTGCGCTTAGTTTTGTATGACTTCCAGGGTACCCTATACAGTACAGTTGTATGAAATGAAACATATCCTGCCCAGGATTAATAATCTAATGTTGGGTTGCACCAGGACTTAGTTTTCTCTGTGTGCCTTTGTGAGGCTGTGTGTGTGATTATATAGCATTAATGCTGGTCAAATTAAGTATAGTTGCCCGTATCAGCTAATCCTCAAATGACGGTCTCCTCTTGCAGAACTTTGGTCTTTCAAATCATCGGGTGGAAGGGATATGCATTCTTTCTTTGCCTTGCTATGACCCTGCTCTAGCCATCTTGGGAGTCCTGCTGTTTATCATTTAACAAATGCATTCATCTCTGTGTGCGTGCTGGGGAGTAGGAATGAAATGGTGTCATGGTAACGTAAGTGGTCATATATTGCTTATAGAAAGAAATAGCCAGCATGAAATTGGCTGGAAAGTATTTGTACTCTCAAATCATTATGAAACCGAGGAGGATGACCTATTTCCCAACAGTTGGGCAGAAACTCAGCTGTTCAAGTGGTCAACTCCTAATGAGAAAATTGTACATAATGTGATTGGTCCTAAGAAATAATGACACTGAAAGCATTTTTTTAAAAAAAAAATATATATCTGCAGAAGTACATAATGCTGCCTGAGTCTGCAAACGAAGGTTTGCAGGCACACTTAAATGAAATTTCTGAAAAAGAAACAGGGTTTTAGCTTAGCCTTATCTGCTAACTTTGTACAGTGGTACCTCGGGTTACAGGCGCTTCAGGTTACAGACTCCGCTAACCCAGAAATAGTACCTCGGGTTAAGAACTTTGCTTCAGGATGAGAACAGAAATCGCGCGGCGGCAGTGGGAGGCCCCATTAGCTAAAGTGGTACCTCAGGCTAAGAACTGTTTCAGGTTAAGAACGGACCTCCAGAACAAATTAAGTTCTTAGCCAGAAGTACCACTGTATATGCAGGGAAATTAAGTTTTGAAATTTAGCACTGGGGAGCTTTGAAACATGCTATTCCACAATCAGCAGTCTGAAGCAGGGCAGTCCAGGAAGAACAGCAGTACGTTCAAATTGTTCTCTTAGGCTGCAATCCTAAACATGCTGACCTGGAAATAAGTGCCATTCAGTCGAAGTGTGGCATTCATACACAAAGAAAGGCTTCCTTTTTATTGGTCCAACTTGCATCAAATACATTTGGTTTCTCGTACTCTCGAAGAGCTGGAAGAAAAGCGTGAACACTCTTGTGAGCCATTCCAGTCCTTGGTGAAGCATGCAATTCTTCATCACTTTAGACTCCCATTTCAAAACAACAGTCAGCAATTGTTGATGAGATTTAAATGCTTTGTTTTCAGAGGAGTAAAATGGTAGGGCTCTTAGCAACTTTCTTCTTTCTCTATCTCTCCCTCTTATCTTTCTCTCTCTCTCTGTTTCTCCTTTCTTTCTTTTTTTGCAAGAGTCTAAAAATATATATTGGATTTTGTACTGCCCCCTAGGTGAGAAGGCAATTTGGGGCCCAACAGTTCAGGAAGCCAAGCTTATAGACAGCTCCCTCCTGATGTTTGCTATTTGAGCCCATATTCATTATCTCAAGACTGGGCTTTAATCTGTGAGTTGAGTCAGCACACTTCCATGGTACCTGTGCTCAAGAACCCTGCTGGATATGTGCCAGGCTGATGCAAAGCCCAGCCGAGAAAGGACAATGAGCCAAATGCATATTCCGAAATTAAATGTGATTCAGAAATGGGAAGTAGCCTGGGAAGTAGTTTTGCAGCTTCAAGCCAAAACAACTGTTGGATTCCGCACAACCTGCTTTCCTCCTTATGCTGTGAACTGGAATGCACATTGCTTTTTCTTTCTTTTCTTTTTTCTTTTAAAAAGAATCTCTTCCTTCACTTTCTTTATCACATCAGCCACATTCAGAGGTGATGCCCTGCAGACAAAGAAGCCTTTTTAGCATCACAGCTGATTATTACCATTGTCTTTTTGCTGCAGGGGAATATCATTGCTGATTTTTTCTGAATTGTACCAGACATGTGGATCTTGAAGAAAGCTATCCCACATAGTGAGTCCACAGTTAGTGCCTCATGTTGACAATTCTTTATCATTTTGCTTAGCTATGCAGTCTGACAATTCAATTAATGGCTGTCAAACACCATACTAAGTCTGGAAGTCTATTCAAACCTATCTGGATCTTCTTGGGTTTTCCTCCTCTTCTTATATAATCACTGTATATCAGCTATTCTGCAGATTTCTGGGTCCACATTATTCAGGAAGAGCCTGATGACACATGTCTAGTGCTTGATGGTTGCAACATTAAATGATCATTCGAATGTATGAAGGACCTACCACAGGTATAAGCTTCCATTGGCTTCAAATACATTCACACATAACAGCAAGCCAGACTTTCTGTCTTCTTGTGTTTTACTGTGAACAAGTGGTATTGCTAGTCTGTCCGGCCCAGTTGCTTCTGATTCAATCCTGGCATGGACAATATAGTAATGCAACAAGCCATGACTTCTGGTTACATCTGAACTGTGTGTGTGTGTGTGTGTGTGTGTGTGTGTCATGGTTTGTTGCTCCCTAACAAGAAGCCATGAACAGGAAATCAAATACAAAGCATGGTTTAAGGTAGGCTAATACTTATGGCTTGCTAGGGAGAAACAAAGTATAATCACTGCTTCAATATGACCAGAAGCTAAGGCTTCCTAGTTTGTTTATCCTGTTTGTGCCAGGGGTGAGCAATCAGGTTCACGATAAACCACAACAAGACAGGAAATCTGGCTTGTTGTTATGTGCAAAAGCAGCCAGTGACACACACAAAAGCAGTTCATGCATTCAGTCGTGAGAGGCCAAGCAATAGTGTGGACAACTGATCATTCCATTTCTGATATTTGCCTAGCCAACTCCAGTAGCACCAAGGCCTACTGACCTGAATGCATTCAGTCTCTAGCCTCTGTAAGCCAAAAAAAGAACATGGAAAAAGCTTCAATCTCTAGCGGCCCTGACATGACTATTAACTGAATGTTTTCATTTGACGTGGAAGATTAATGAGTGACCTATAACTGAATCTACATCTGTGGTGTCAAGAGATGTTTCAGGTTTCTTTGTTTTTTTAATGTGTTCTGGCCAGTGAAGTGACCGACCTTTTCTGTGTTTGTAATGTGTTCCTGGACATTTCCTTTGTACAGCCCAAAACCAAAGCTCAGGCTTCTTCTGTCCCTCTGCAAATTGTTTCTCTCCTTCCTGCATGAAGCACTTCAGCAACAGTCATCCTAAGAAGCAGCAAGGCTTCTTTCTATTAATACTCTTTTGTTTCCCAGGAGGTGTTACCTGCCCCTTCTGCTTGGATGAACCAGAATTTGCTTTAAAATGTGCTTGGCTCCAGTTGCTGCCACTGTTAGTTTGGCTTTAATTACATGTTCCTCCATCTGTTGCCATGGATTTGCACAGTTAGGTCTGTAATTAACTTCCCAGCTCAGACGTTCAAGAAAAATATATCATAAAAATGTCCACGCTTCATTGATTGTGAGGGTTCCCCCCCCCTGCTCTTTTTGGTTCTGCTTTTGCTGTTGCTTTTCCAGTTAGGCTAGAAATATACAAAATTGTGATGGTGGTGGTTGAAGAGGAGGGACTGTCCTCTTCGGTGGTCCCATCAACATGCCTAAATGTTATCCATCCCCTCACCTGCAAAGTGGGTCAGCACCAGGTAGCAGCACTGCAGATTAGTCCCCTTTCCAGTAAAAGGGGATCTGGTAAGGTTCTAGCTTAGGAAATGAGGTTAAGGAAGATGGTAGTTAGAAGGATGAATAGCTATGAACAAGACAGTGTGTTTTCCTTATTAGAAAAAGAAAATGATATAAGCTTCCTATCTGAATGATGTAAAAAGTGCACTACCTTAACCCACTGAATGGTCTTGAGAGCATCTTTTGCTGCAGAATTAATGAAAGTGTGCAGACCCCACCAGTCTCTTAGATGCAATCCACTGGGAGTCTCACATAACAGCAGGTTGAATATATAGGGATGTATCCAACATCCTCGATCCACGATCACAGAGAACTTGTACTAGTTCAAAGGGCAAGTTTTAATGTGCAACAGAGGGATCAAATGCAAGTCTTGCATTAGTGGGAATCTGTTGTGCAGCAGATTGTACAGTATTCTGCTTGTCAAAGTTATGAGTAGCCTGCACGTGCAAAATCTTGCACAGCAAAGTTTTGCTGGCACAATGTACCACTAAGTGACTTTAACTTAGCACTATGTTACATACAACCCAATACTTTTTTTAAAGCACACAAGTGCTGTGTGGCTGCTTAATTTTACACAGTCGATTCTGTTTCTTCTGTAGTCACAGGAAGGCCCCCTCCTTTTGACACAAGCAAATTAGACTTTAGCTCCCTCCCTGGATTTTGGAGAATCTACCAGGTCTCCATTCCTTCAACCCTCTCTTCTTTTTTCTTAAACAGAGTTTCCCAGGGCCCTCTGTTTCTGTATCCCAGACTTATTTGTTGCACTTGCTGGGTGTGATTCCTAGACTCCCTAAAGGGTCAAACCAGTTTATTAAGCATCAGTTTATTAAGCATGCACCTGCCATTTAAGCTGTCCAATGGGGACAGGAGTGAAACTTTCCCCCTCCCCTCCCCTCCATCTCTTCTTCTGCCTCTGCTTCTGCTTCTGGACTGCTCTCTGCCACAGACTCTCCCTGCTCAATAAGGCCTGTTACCTCTTCAGCTTCCAACACCACCTCTCAGGTTTCTCCCTCTTCTTCCTCTGACCATTCATTGCCATCCCACCAGCAGTCCCCGAGCTCTGAGCTTTCTTCCCTTGGGTTTTTTCCAGCTGGTGCCTCCCACCACCCCTCTGTATCCAACCAGTCCATGACAGATTGTCACTCCCTACCCTTACAACTTTTGTCTGTTGCTCATGTCCTCCAAGTCCTGCCCAAGCATGGTTGGAGCTTGACTGGAACAAACACAAGCCAGAGAACCAAAAGGGCCCTCTGGGGGCTCTGGCACCATCCTGTTATGTAGTTCTTTATTTTTCCTCCTACCCACAAGTGGCTCATTACCAAGGTCCACGTGATTGGCACTTCCCTTTTCCAAATCTAACAGCCAGGCAAATAGAACTTGTGCCAGAGGGGAGAAATGCAGGAAAGGGGAAAGCTTTGTAGTTGTTTCAGAAATTTCTGCCCAGAGCTCTGAGGTCCCTGATGTGGTGCTTGTGAGCACCATGGTACCCTCAGATGCACACCATGGTGTCCACAGATATCCTACCCCTCCCAGTTTTATTTGTGTATATACATTTATATATATATATATATTAATAGAGTATTTTTGGTTCTGTGACAAGTTGTCTTTGGGAGAAGGGTGTTGCCTGCCTCCCCCCCACGCCCCGTGTTCTGTTTGTTTGGGGGATGTGTGTGTTTTGCCTGCTGATGGGGGGGAGGGTGTTGGGATCTGAGCATCACCAGATTTTCCGCTGTGAAATGGGTATTTTATGGTGATCTCAACATTTTTCTTAGGTTTTCAAATGTGTCCCCAGGCCCAGAAAAGTGGGATTATGGGGCTACCCTTATCCTTCAAGCAAAACTCAGGAATGTGCTGAAGTACCAATGATTGTAAACCCTAACAACCTGGATTCTTTACATTTTTTTCAGAGCAGGTGTCCTAAGGCCAGGAGCAGATCCAATATCCTCTGCTTCCCCAGACAAGTCCTGGTGGCAGAATCATTTGCCTGCTGGGTGCCTTCTGTGGTTTTCATTCTCCAAAGCGGGCAATCGATAGAGTAGGGTGGGTGGAATTCTCCAATCTTGAATCTGCTTTGGTGTAGGGC